TAAATCAGACAAAGGCATTTATTGTGGTTTCCATTACATCAAAGTACAAATTTGATTGTAGCTACCGCTAGTCAAAAAATAAGGCGACTCCGAAATCATTCTTACTTGTCACTTTTGTCTTCCCCACCATTATTACATTTACAGTCGATAATCCTGTTTTAAGACATGCTATTAAAAATCAGTGGCTAAAACTCACTCACTTGTGCTATTAACAATGTAATGGCTTGTAAAACTAGGGATACCATTCACAAAGTGACTTGGAATCCATAAAATTGTAACGAAAAACAACGTTTGCCTTTGATATTCTACAAATGTAAAATACCTATTTGAGTAAAACAGTTTTCTCTCTCTTTACTCTCGACGTGCTTGATGCGACCAGCTCCGATCTACATCCACGGTCCCCAAATGCCATGCTTACGAGCCTCTTTTAGTGCATTTGGGTCAGCAGGTTTGAAGGCGGCAGGAACTGCAGTCTTTAGGTAATAATTCATTCTATCTTTCATCTCCTTTAGAACATCAGGTAACTCGGTGCTGAGGTCGTGTCGCTCTTCGGGATCAGCTGTGATGTTATAAAGTACAACGTCCAAAAGGTCCGCATTTCCCTGTAAGATTCCAACATAAAGAACTGGACATATATAAACTTTTAATAATGATTCGATGTAGAAGTTCTGGCATACGGAGTGATTTGCATAAATATATTTGAGGGTTGATTACGTATTGCTATTGTAATTCAGGTAGTGATTTCGAGGTACTGGTGAGGGAAAAACGATTCAAATATTAAAGCACTGACCATGTAATAGATCCTCAACTGCTCCAGAATCTCTTCATTTGTCTCATCTTTAAGAAACCCTTTAGACAAAAGAACATCAACTGGAACTCCGCCCAGCTCGGGTGGTTTAAACCAGGTGATATTTTTAACATTCATCAAAAGCTTCATGCTTCCCTTCCGAAGAGCCATTCCTTGCCAGTTGACTCCCAACATTTTACTTGTCCCAGATGGTGGATTATCGATGTTAAGCAAGATTTCTGTTCGAGGTGAAGCTTCTCCACGTGACAAAGTGCTCCACACATCAAAGCCATCAATGGGGATAGGATGTTTTGCATCGTACGAACCACCTGTGGTCAAACCAGAATGATAAGAATATTATTTATAAGGTTGCCACAAACAAACACACGAAAGAAAAAGCAGTGAAGGAGAAAGGGAAGAAGAAATGAGGCAAGAACACTATTTACTAAATTAACTCTCAGGTGTTACGACTAATTCTCTGAAAGAGTAAAGTAAACAAATCTAACAAACATTATGACGAAAGATGTTCAATTATGATATTCACTCCATTTCTCGCTACGTTTGTAACTTAATGGATAACTCTTGCCTTTCTGGATTATGTTCCATACGAGATGTTTGCTCGAGAGTCTTATTTCCACGGACTAACTCTTTACAGAGTTAGTTTTCTTAAAAATCTTCAAAACTAAATGGAAAAGACACACCTTCAAGTGAGGGATAATCAGAGAAGTGGAAATGAAGTCATAGATAACCACACCTGCAAGGTTGATGAGAGTAGGAAAGAAGTCGCTGATGTGTAGAAGTCCTTCGCATTTCACACCGGTCTTTTCTAACATTTTTCCATGGACAAAAGCAGCACCTCTCACTCCTCCCTCCCATAAGGTATGTTTTGTTCCTCTAAGAGGCCAGTTATATCCGCCAAACGTAGGTTCTCCACCATTATCAGTGCTGAAGACTGTTAAAGTGTTCTCCCATAGCCTGGACGAGAACAATGAAGATCACAAACGCTTGTATTCACCCTTCAAATCAACAGAGTTATCACGGCTGCCGTAAACTTTGCACATAGAAAACCCAAAGAGATCCTCGTGTAATAAGAGTCTTGCCCAGCACTGTGATAGCACGAATCTAGGATAATGGCCGCTCAAGCTCACAATAGAATCAAAATATGAAACCTTCAAGTAAACTAATTCGAAACTCACCCTTTCTTTTTAAACATTTTCGTGATGTTGCCAACAGCTTCGTCCAGTACAGCGACCATTCCAGCATGCACTCGGCGCATCTTTTGATGAATAAACGAGAATTTGTCCACATACTGGTCTGGTGCCTGGATGGGATTATGAACATTCTGGAAGGCCATGTACAGGAACAGGGGCTGTTTTGGGTCATGTTGATCCAAAATCTCCTCTATCCTCTGATGGAATCATAAAATAAAAACAACCGTGAAATACTCATTACGGACATAACACAGTTCATCGTAGCCCTAGTATTGCAATATCTTTTGAGAAAAGTATAAGATAAAATATGCATTCAGGATGTAGGTAGGAGAGAAGGAGTTTCTTTGTAGAAGTGCTAGCGTCACGAAAAGCGTATAACTTTAATTAGGCAGTAGCAAACTTTGTGGGAAGTCTGAAACGTTATACTGGGAGGTTATCGGCGATGAATTCGAACCCCGTTTGATAGGAGAATCAAACTCATAGTTGATTTATGTCATAGGGGCCGTGAGAAGATATGGCATTATAGACCTCACCGTCCTCCACGACGGGTCTTTGCATCGACTAATCGTAATTTACCGCCTAAGTCTAACAAATGATGCATTATAAACCATAGTTACGTGGAAATATTAACTATTAGACCTTGACATATTCGAATGTTGCATATTTTCCGTTCAGGTCTAAAACAGGTTCGGTTCCGTTGCGAAAATCAACCACTTTGTCACGCGTGTGATCATAATGATCTTCAGCACCATCCCAGAATCCATAAGCGGAGTCAAAACCACGGTTGGTTGGAACATAAGGCCATTTGTAGAAACCAAGATGCCACTTGCCAACCAAATGAGTCGCGTAACCTGATAGAAAAAAATTTAAGAAATACACCCCATTTGTAAATTGAATTACTGAAGTATTTTGAAGATTTATTTGCGCAGAATGAGGTATAAACAAAACGCCATAATCATAGAGAAGAGCATAGACAGAAAGCAACGCGAAATGGGTGTCGGGTAAGGCGCCCATTTAAGTTGATCAGCTTTTACGGTTTGGTGTGAAGGGCTTCTTTCTTACAAAAAATTGTTGTTTAGAATAAATATCATTGGAATTAAAAAATCTTTTCTTCTTTTAATTGAAGGGCCGGAATCTTGGAAGGCTGTGGCTTACCAACTTTCTTTAGCTGTTCTGGAAGGGTCTGAAAATCTAATGGCAATCCAAATGGATTTGTGGGGTGAACCACTTCATGCTGAAGTCCTGCAAGAGTCGGATAAAAAAAGGAAATGATCTGATAACATATAAGCTAATCATGATGCACCCTCCCCCTTTACTTATGATTTGGCAGGTAAATAGACCAACTACTGGCTCAGTGCTAAAGTAATTTCTATCTGCAGCCGGCTCTCACACTGGTCTCCTTTGCACTGTTGTTTTGCACGGACGAATTAAGGACTGACGCTAAAAACATCAGGTTTGGAAACTCTTTACGGTGGCCAATTTAATCATCGACTTATTTGATAGAACCAAAATCTCTTCTTATAACTCCCAGCGACGCAGCACCACAGTTTCTTTAAAGTTACCCTTTAAAGGTCCTCAAAGGATCCTAGTCAACCACAAGACATTGCGCGCTTCGCCTGCTTTTTTCAATACCATTTAAATTTTAAAAAAATCATGAAGTTTCCACTGTGACGCCTATCATCCAAGTGCATCCGAGCGATTTAAATACATTGAAATATTAAATTGTTATGATATTCCTCCTAAATTATCAATGGTTTTATTCTGAGTAGTTATTTTTGTGGCTTCTAGAAATTTTCTCAAGAAAGTTTTGTTTGTAACTGGGACCGTCAATAGCATCTCGCCTTCTATTACGTGGAAGGCCTAAAGCCATGGGGCAGATAAAAAGGATTCTGCTTCGAGAGTCCACTTTCAACCTGTGGAATGACAGGAAGGATAGTCTTGGCATCAAATGTCTAACTAATATCCAATTTGTAGAGATTTTGCAGCATCAAAGCGTCGATGAGCTTCGCGCGTGGTGCCAGTCACACGAAACGAATGATGAGTGTTGACCGTGGGCTGAACGACTCCAACCGATCGCAAGCGAATTTACAATTTAGCTCTGGCAAGGATATCTTTAAGGGACTCTTCCTTGCGATACGATAATAGGCTGGTTCCATAAATATTGCTCTTAAGTGTGGTCGGTTTTGAATGAGGTGCCATCTCCAAACCCGTATGCTCTGAAAGTTAGTTAAAGCCTGATGATGTTATTGTGTTACAAAAGACAATATTCTGCCTGCTATTTCCTGCTATTTTCTTCGTTTTTAAGTGACCGTTCTCTATCGGAGCATATAACTCCGAAATATGTTTCTCTTGAACTTGGTGTGGGCTTTCTCTATTCTCTTCTTGAAACTTAGGGCCTTTCCGCACTAGCAGACAAAACTAGAATTGTCCCGACAAAATAAAAGGACAAATTTTTGTTTCGTCTGACTATCTCAAAGACGTCAAATTCCGTTAGCGCCTGATGTTGTAAAACATCAGGCGCTGACGTGTAAAACATGACGCGTGACGCCAACGTGTAAAATGTTGGTAATAACAGAAAATTTGTCTGAATTAATAACTCTGTCGCTAGTGCGGAAAGGCCCTCATTTAGAAACTCTGTACGTTTTTATTTCAAGAACAGCAACGTGTGGCACGGTGGATTTATTCTTGGCATGTGTGACGCTTCTCCTGTTGAAGGCCAGCACGACTCTTGTAATATGAATGATTTTTCCTGCTGTTGCTCGTATGTAAACAAAAACAGGGGCGTGGTTGTCTTTCCGCTTTTCATTCCTTCTTTGGGATGACCAGGAACCCTGGGATGACTCGCAACGCTCCCCAAGGCGATTTGGCAAAATGTAAAACAGAGGCCAATCTTTCAGTTTGTACATTTATTGAACATTATGACCTCTTGACAAAGTCACGCCGAAGCATATTGTGTTACTGGTACAAATAGTATCATATACCACGTTTTATAACCTGATTTACAATCCTGTTGTCATGCCAAATTCTAGTATTATAAATTAGGAAGGTACGTGCACACCTAAATGACCTCATTATCCATAAATTTACGTATCACTAAGGAGATTTTCGGTTAAGTCTGTGCTGTGATGTTGTTAAGCGGCTGGCATGGTTTCTGAACCCTTCTGCATGGCATGCATTCATTATGGTTATGGCTGTTCTCTTTATTTTTTTTAATAGCTTTAACACTAAAATACTGATATTCAGATCCCTGAAACAGTAGTTTACGAAACAAAATCCACGCATGGACTGCTTTACAGTTTTTCCGGTGTGGTAGTGATACGCTCTAAGGTAAGAGCATTTGTTTTGTGCAGACCTCATACTTGGTTTTGCTTTCTAAGGTGCCACTTGTCAGAACGACCCATTTATTGACAAATTCAAATTCAAATTTGGTTAATTTTCCACGCACACCTTTGAACAATTCCATATTTTTCTTTTTAACGAACGTTGATGTTCTTCGCTGTGCCACAGAATTCTCGGGGGGATGTGAAACACTCCTAATGTTATCCAACTATCATCAAAAGAAAATTTAAGGTACCCTGCCCAGGCCAAGCTAATCCGATACTACACTGCAATCATTTTTCTTTTTTTATCTCCTATCCCAAGCCGAAAGCAAAAGCTCAAAAACATTAAAATGCCTTTTCCGAAAAGATCATTCCCCTTGCTCGGGGGTGGTCAGGCTCAGAGGGTTAACATAGATAGTGTTACCTTACGTCAATTGGATTTTGTAGTTATTGTCACGGAATGCGAAAGTAGTAGTGCTTTACGCGAAATACCAAAGCAACAGCGGCACATTAACCATACCTGTGTGAATGGGATACCTTCCAGTCATAAGTGCTCCTCTGGCTGGTGTACAAACAGGTTGAACATAATAATTGTCGAGTATGACCCCTTCTTTGGCCAACGAGTCAATGGTTGGAGTGTTGATTTTTGATCCATGAAATCCAACGTCGATCCACCCGAGATCATCAGCAAGCATAAACAAAATGTGCGGAGGAGATGATTTTCGCTTTTTTGCCTCCAGTGGACTCACTGCCACGAAAAATGCGAACGCAAACGCAACAAGACTTCTCACGAGAGACATGTTACGGGGATTTGAAATGACATAACTCTCTAGGGAATGTCACATGATTGTCACGGGACTGGGACTTAACTGTCTTTTGTTTGCGTTTGGTTTCCCTTACACATGTTGGGAGATGATGTTAGATGACGCTAGATGAAGCTTGCACAGAGCATAAAACTAGCTCTGGTATTCTGACAATTAATTAGACAATATTCCATAAATTAAAATTTTCCTTTCCTATCATGACCTTACTGATTATCAGAATCGGAGAACTGGAACCTAAATTGATGTTGTGACAGGAAGAAGTGCAAGATGGCGGCAGGGATGCGGCCGCCTTCTGGCCACTCGCATGGCCATCCTCACAACCACGCCATGCCGAGGAGAAAAGTCACAATTTCGTTTGTGATACGAGACGAAGAAGAACCTCTGCATCGGTCAGGTGTAAATGCGCTTCAGTTTGATAAACATACTGGTCGGCTGTATTCTGCAGGACGAGATTCTATCATTCGATGTTGGAACACAACTGTAGACAAGGTGTGCAGTTTTATTTGTGTAATATTAACATTTGCGCAGAATGACTTGCTTTTTCTTATAAACTGGAGCTGGAAGAAGGACTCAGAGTTTTTCGCTCTGGTTCTTGTTCGTGGAAAATAATAGTTCGTAAATGTGAAATAAAGAAGACTTGTTTACAAACGTAAACAAGCTCAACTGAGTTAAAACCAAATGAAAGCAGGAGGATGAAGATTCAACATGTCTTTTTTTCCAGCCCAGCAGTATCTTCACTCGATGGGTATCTAGGGCTGTTTTTATTAAAAGAATGATTCAGTATCTTCAAAATGAACCTTGTTCAATTTAGGAAGTGTGATTTGTATGGGGATGTGTGAGGCATCTCAGGTCACCTGTTGGTATGAACCCCAGGGGTGGAGGGGCAAGTGGAGCAAGGCAAGAGTTTAGTTCCATTCAAAGGGTACAAAGTCAAAATGAATTATTGAATTTTAGCTAGAGATCTATATACAACAAAAATGTTTCACTGTTCAATTGTATTTAGTAAAACATATGCTAGGGGTTTGTGATTGGTTACATGGTGACTTGCACTTCATGTAAAGTTTGTATCAATTTGAAGAACAGTTATTATTTGTCTGGTTCTAGAACTATTACATAGCATCACTTGAACACCACACAGACTGGGTGAATGATATAGTCCTTTGCTGCAATGGTAGAACAAGTAAGAGAGTCACTTTCTTGTATATACCATGATAAGATGGCTTTTTTTTATAAATAATAGGAAAAAATGATTGATTTCTTGCTGGAGAGCCATGATTTGTTTTCTCTTCTCTGTCCTAAGCAAATAACTTTTTTAGGCAATTGGCTATGCAATGAGAATTTATTCACATTCACTTTTGAGGTGCCAAAATATTATAATTATCATTAAATTATTGTTGTGATTTTTAGCTGATTCTCATGCTTGACACAATGAGAAAAGGTCACATAGTAGGCCAAAACTCAGTTGAACATATTGTTCAAGGTCAAGTTTTGTTTTTAGAGTCGAAATCTTGATCATCCGGACTCCAGACTGGGCTGAATAGTCCAGATAATCCAGAGTCCAGAACCAAAAATTAAAATTGAGTACCTTGAAAAAAAAAAAAAAAAAAAAGCAAAACAAACAAAAGCAGGTATCAATTTTAGGCAAGAATTAAAACAAATTCTCAAATCATTATGCACAACTTGATGACATTTTCCAAAAGTATTTACAAAAGATTGTTAAAGCTAACCAACAACCTCTTACATCAACATAACGTGCTGGCAAAAATCATATTTTCAGACTGCCAAGCTGAGTGCGTGTTGTGAATGCCCAATATGTAATATTTGACTGAGGCTTGACTGTATTTCCTACAGGTGGCTTAGCTTTCAACTATTTGAAAAAACTAAATTTGGCCTAGTTTGGAACTGATTTTGTCCTTAAGAGTTGAAGTTTTTAACTTTTCATCACAAGTTTTCTGAGTTCTTAACTCTGTAAACCTCCAATTCAAGTTGCTAGTGCCAACCACTAGCCATGGTCTGCAAAAATGGTTGCAGCTTAGAGGGTTGCAGTAAATAGCTCTAATGCAAATGAAGCTAAACTTAAATGGCAGATATGATTACATGGCTTGCAGTTACATGCATGTTAACCTTTTTCTAATTTATTCTCCAGTATTATCAGCATCATCTGATACAACTGTTAAAGTGTGGGATTCTGGACGGAGTTTCTGTATGTCTACCCTGCGCACTCACAAAGACTATGTCAAGGCACTTGCTTATGCTAGTCAGAAAGAATTGGTGGCCTCTGGAGGACTTGATAGGCAGATATTTCTGTGGGATGTCAACACTTTAACAGCTCTTACAGCTACAAATAATACAGTCACAAGTGAGTCAAACCATAAAATTATACATGAACTATTGATTTATACCTCAAAGCTTGCACATAGTTTAATAATGATGAAAGGAAGGAGAGAATACCATACACTGTACTTTAAGAAGATAGAAAGGGTTTGAATTTGCTTCCTAAGATAAAATATGAAGAGAGGGCTAGAAATTGTGTTATTTTTGAACAAGAGTTGTCATATTGCTTCTTGTGTAGTGTGAAGCCTAAAAATAAGAAAATACAAACTAAGCAAATTGTTTGGTTGTGCTGTGTTTAACTGTTTTAGATCTGCTTAGCACATCACTTTTTTGGTCTCGTAGTAAGATAGACTTCTATTCCATTCTGTTTGGAGATAGAGAAAGATGTGATTGGATAATTTTTACAGACAGTAGAAGAGTGAGTTTTTGGCAAAGAGTGTTCTTGTTTTTTTGTTTTGTTTTTTTGTAATTTCTTTATTTTTGGCATTTTACAAAACATTACTCTACTTACAATACACTACAGGACTCAGTTACAACACATCACTTACAATAATTTACTGAGAACACACTACTAACAAAGTATAGTGTATAATAAACTTGATTACAGTAGATGACTTACTCTCTATTACTTACACTACCTACACAATACTCTACATTTACATTATTTTATAACATATTACACTACTTTCAATATGTTATGGTAAATTACTTACAGTATCTTATTAATAGTATATAGCGAAATCATATGCTTTACAATAAAATTTGACTTCTTATGCTACTCTGCATTGTTTGGATGACACCCATCCCACAAACCAATATGTGGCAAAAGCTTATCCCTCTGAAAATGTTTGGCTAATTTATTCCACTTTGCTGCTATCTTCATTTCCACCTGGTATATCTCCCCGATCTTGGCCTTATAAACTCGTATGGAGGGATTCTTAGAATTCGATTTACACTTGTACATATAAAATTTAGCAGAGTGTTCTTGTAGTTGAACTGAGGTTTTAGATTTCCTTAACCCATCTATTTGTAAATTACGCCTATTAAAGAGGCTCCTAGCACTTGCCTATCAAACTTGAAATATTCTGTGCAGAAGTGTGTTTGTGGTTAATTCTTTTTTGTGGCTGTAACCTTCTGTTTGCTGATAATACAATTAAAAATAAACTAACTCCACGAATAGCTGTACTTCTAACCTCTCAGCTTGGCTAATACATGTAAACTTGAAAATGAATAGATGTAATAACTTTTGAAACCAACCTTAAAAGCTACCTAAGTATACTTGACAGGTATACAATGTCCAAGTTTTGATTAAATGACTGTTGTAAGTTATAATAAGATAATAATTTAAGTTATAGACTAAGCCAGAATTCTGGATAAAGTAATATAATGATAACTGAATTATCACCTCATAGATTAATCAATAAGATAAACCCATGGTGGTTATGGTTTATTGCCAAGAACTCAATTTGGAAGAGAAATGCTGAATTTTTTTGCAGCTACTCTTGAACCTGACTGAGTGTTAATATCATTTGAAAAACTAATGATATAATGGATCTTTTTCTTAGTGGACCTTTCCACCATTTTGGTATGGGCTAAACAAGAAATTAAAAGTTTGACTTCAGAGTTTTCAACAGAGAAAATCCTGCCTCTATACCCATAGATTTGAATTCTGTTTAATTTATATTCAGTGGGTTGAGTTAAATCACTTTGAAGGTTGTTATATGCAAAGGAAACAGCACATTATTTCCTTGTGAATCACTCTTTTCTTTGTCCGTTAAATTTATTGAAATGCATTTCTTATGAATCTTCTTTTTATAATTTGTTAGCACTTACTCAAACCTCTTCATGCCATTGCATACATAGAGCCAATATTAGTGATTTTACTCCCCATATAGAACACAGTTGCATGTAAGTACTTCTTTGTGATGGATTTTTAACACTTGACCTGTTCATTTTTTTTTTTACTATTCCTACTGCTTGGCTATTAAAATATCAGGTAGCCAGGGAGGTGAAGGTAACCACTTGAGAGAAGGATGTATCAGTAATCTGCACTATGATGTTCATGCACCCTGTAGGTAGTCAACCAACATGATTTTAAGTTGCATTGTATATTTTGTTAAATTTCATTTTATCTTTTGAAGTAAATGAGAGAATTGCTTCAACACAGTTTGGCTCTTTTTGCTCACTTTATTTGGGATAGAATCGTTCAACTACAGCAAATACTGATTAAATATACTCATTAAGTATTCATAATAACAATTAAAAACAATTGTTATAAAAAAAGAAACCTGAAAAAGAAGAAAAAGGTTGTGAGTTAAGCTTTATAGGCCCACACATAAAATTCCCTTGATATTTATACTCATGAAAAAGAAAAAAGGTTAATTCTAGAGTGTAACTCTGCAAGATTTAAAAAATGAAAGCCACATAAAACTTATAGCTAAGTGTCAAATGGTAATAGAAAAAAATTTTCCAAGGGATAAGTATTTTATAAAAGTTGTATGTTTTTTTATTAAAATAAATTATTTGAAAACATGATTAACCACAAAATTGATTTGAGAGTTACTAACTATACATGAAGCTACTGCACTTTCTCAATTTTCTTTCTCTTCTTTGTTTTCTCACATCGAAACTCCTCTTTGGTCCCTGTTTCTCTAAATAGGGGTTCCTTAAATTGAAAAAGGGCCACTGGGTCCTCTTTGGCAAATTTCTAGCATAGAAATTCTTAAATTATTGGCTAGTTTTTTCCTGATAACTCATGTATGGGTTATTGTATGCTGCAGAATGTTGATTTTACCAGGGAGAGTATACTGAGGAAAGATTGCATTGACAAAGGCATACACACCAGGCATTTTTGTGTCACAACAATGTATGAAAATGTTAGCTAAGGGCACTATGCACAAGGTCAATTTTCGCTAAATTTTGAACTGCAGTGATGTCGGAAACACTGCAAAGTTTCTGTGATATCCATCTTATTTGACAAATAAAGAAATATTATTTATTTCCTTGATGAGATGATTCAAATCCTCGGACTAAGAACTTCATGACCCTGCTACAAAATGTATATGTAGTACAAAGGTCAGTCATTTTAGTGTGGTAGGGAATGTTGTTGTTTTTTTTTAAAATTCTATTTTCACCTGCATCATTATCCCAGAGACTGATATATAGTTTGTTCAAGTGTCAGTAAGATCTAAGAGGTTTCCATGAAGTTCATTTTTGGATAGGTACAGGGAGGGGGGAATCAGAGTGTTAAAATCTGATTTTTTTTCTGTTCACTACTGGTTTTGTGTGAGTTGCATTTCTTTCAAAATTTTCTCTTTTTTACTGATTGGTTTTTTTTGTTTTTTTTCATGTCAGCCTCATCACTGAATGGTCAAAAAGATTCAATATACAGCTTGGCATTAAACACCATGGGCACTGTACTCATCTCTGGCTCTACTGAGAAGGTAAAGTTAATTGACTTGGTCAACTCTTCATGGTTTCTAACAGTGTAAAGTGTTAGGAGATTAATAATGTAATATATGAAAGAATTCTGCTCTTCTGATGGGGTGAAAGTGAGTGCATTTTTCATGTAATACAAGGGCAAAGTTGTAACATGAGTAATTTTTGTCACTGAGATTGATTTTGATAGTTAGAGGTAATAATTTATTCTTTTTATTATTCAAGCCCTTGATAGAGTGCAGGGCATGATTGTTCAAAGCTTGGTTAAGATAACCTAGGGTTATTGTGAAGTCTGATTTTGCATCTGAAACCTTTAAAAGAAAATTCAGTATAATTATTTTTGTCTGGAATTTGATTATTATATGCTCAGAAAGTAATAGAGAAAATCATCTTAAAAAGGCTTTTGAACAAAGGTCATAAAAAAACCCAGATTAAGATTTAACTTTGAGTGAGCATTAATCTGCTTTGGAAAAACTGGCCCCAGGTGTTTTAAATTCAGGATAATACTTGTGAAAAGTTTGGTTGATAATGATACAAATTAATAAATATTTTTGTCATTGTTCCTTCATTCAGTGAAAGTACTAAATACTTTGAATGGATCTTTTTTCAAGCTATATGTGTAGGAAGGCTTAGCATGTCTTTTTTGTTGTTAGATTTTGAGAGTATGGGATCCTCGAACATGTTCAAAAGTCATGAAACTGAAAGGTCATACAGATAATGTGAAGGCTATCATTATCAATCCTGAAGGAACACAGGTAACCATGTTGTTGAGTTTAATAATACTAAATTTGAAAGAGAATGGGTTTTAAATCAGTTGAACCAACTCTTTGGCTTGTGTGACAAAGATCTGAAATGAGTGGGTATTGATAGGAAAGGGAATGATAATCCTATTGGAAATTGAATGAGAGATTGCAGAAACTGGCTAGTGATATGCCCTGTATGATATGTTCCATTAGAAAAGAGCTGGAAGATGAATAACAAAAGGTTAGAAGTAGAAAGTTGCCTCAATGTGCCTATTTTGAAAGATCCAAGATTAATTTTGGTCATGACTATTTTTCCCCCTACTTTTCTCATGTTTTGTGGAGGCACAGTGGCCTCATGGTTAGTACACTCGACTCTGGATTGAGTGGTCTGGGTTCGAGCCCTGGCTGGGGTCATTGTGTTGTGTTCTTAGGCAAGACACTTTACTCTCACAGTGCTTCTCTTCACCCAGGTGTACAAATGGGTACCAGCAAATATGCTGGGGGTAACCCTGCAATGGACTAGCATCCCATCCAGGGGCAAGTAGCAATACTCCTAGCCACTTCATGCTTATGAAACTGGAGTTAAGCGCCGGCCCCATGGGCCACTTGGACCTGTATAAAGCCTTTACTTTACTTTCTCATGTTGGGGAGATTAAATGGGTTTTTTTATGTCTGTGAAGCAGATAGTGATTGCCTCTGGACTGTTATTTCTTTTCTGGTATTTGTTTGGGTACATAAGTCATTGGTTTTCAAACTTTTCATTGAGCTCATTCAGTCTGCATGTATTTGTTTTGTTTAACTAGCCATGATAGATTACATGTGTTTAGTTCTCGTGGACATTACTGTTTTGTTGTTTGTTAGTGTCTGTCGGGAAGCTCAGATGGAACTATACGCCTTTGGTCATTAGGACAACAGAGATGTATCACTACATACAGAATTCATGGGGAAGGTGTATGGGCATTGTGTGCTAATGACAACTTTACTGGGTTCTACTCAAGTGGTCGAGACAAACATGTCATGTGGACTGATCTGAACATGGAGAATTCTTCAACTCTTTTATTTGTGGAGGATGCTCCAGTTTTAAAAGTAAGTGCCTTCTATGTTTGAATGAATTAAACAATTGACTTGACGGCAATGATTATGCATTTTAGTCACTAAAATGTTGGTAAAATTTAGCAGTTGCACACTGCTAATCTGAAGGGTGCCAACGTAAGGGTGACTTCATCCTTCTGAAGTAAATAAACTGCAGCTCTGATTGGTTGGTTTTTTCTTAGCTGTGATTGGAGCATTTCATGGTAAACCCAACCTAAGCAATGATATTTAATGTTATCACCACATTTTGAAATCACAGAAATGATACTGCACAGCTAATTTTCCATTGCCCATTCAGACAGAGAGTTTTCTTTTAGGTAAAATTCTTCCATACCCTGAGAATTACCTCCCTATATGACCACTTTTTCAAAGGTACTTCAAAGGGAATAAAACTAGGAGGAAAGTTACATTGAATTGGATGTCAGGAAAGAACATTGATATTGATCAATATAGTGTCAAGGATTTTTCTTGATTATTTAAATAGTGTTATTTTTAAGTCTTGCAGGAATGTAGATAGGTTTATAAGTCTGTAAGAGTGAAGGCCATTTTCACATATTTAAATTATGTGGTTTGGTCCAGAGATGAGAGTTTGCTGTTCTGAATGTTGTTTTATTTATGATGAACAAATTAGGTGACCTTTCATACTTATATTTTTTTTCCTATAGTTGGAGCTTTGTGATGAAGCCCATTCTTTGTGGGTTGCCACAACAAATTCTACAATAAATAACTGGGTAAGTATGCTAAACTAAAAAAAGATTTTAAATCAGCAGGTGATCTTAGAGGATACTATCAATCATTTTCTGTTCTTACATTTAGCACTGATAAAGAATTGGAAACAAATTATTTTTTTTACTGAGAAGAAATGAAGAGTAAAACCATTCTGCAGTTGTTGTTATGGGGGCAATAGGAGGTCTATGGAAATAGCAAAGTCTACCAACACCAGTCACCAAACTTAATTTACAGCATTATGTAAAACAGTATTGGTACATTTAAAGTTTGCCATTAAAGTGGTCCACAGCTTTTGATAATTGCAACAATCCTAATGTCTGAGTTAAAGTTTGGAATATCTCCTTACAGCCAGTTAAGATTCCATATCTAAATGAGCAGGACAGTATGGATGTTGGAGATACAGATCCTCAGCCCATTTGTTCATCACCAAAGAAGACAATACCAGGTACATAAAATCTACTTTGTTACTTTGTTATAGAAGACGTTTCATAGAATTTTTTTTATCACAATGTTCTTTACATTTACCACTATATGTGAACTCTGGAAGTTTTCTGTAATAATTGTAGTGCTTCAAGTCTTGATTAAATCTAATTTTCCATGACGCTAGACTTAAAAATTCAGTGGCTATGAGTTGCTACATCTCATTTGTTTAGAAAGCTAATAAAGGCAAAAACAAGTTGACTATTCTTCTCCCTGCATCTGTGGGGATTGCTTTACCCCATCTGTGTTTTTTTAAAACTATCTTTTCATTTTACTTTTCTTGTGGAAAATGTTCCCAATTTGTTTTGTGACAGGGGCACCTAGCATACGGAATTTTCATGTGTTAAGAGACAGACGACATGTCATAACAAAGGACACTGAGGGAAGAGTCTCAGTTTGGGATGTGCTAAAAGTAGGTGTTAACCCTTTAACCCCTAGGGGTGACTAGCATCTAATTTCTCCTTACAATATCACCACTGAATTACATTAATGTCATGAGAATAAAGGAAATGATCACCAACTAAAGAAACTCTTGATTGCCAGACAAATTCTCCCCATCAGCACCTTAGTAAATGTACAGAGAACAGTATGGAGAATATAAATACTGATGTTAGGGTGTAACGGGTTAAGGGACATTTAATAACATTGAGATTGACTGTGGTACATCTTCCCTATTTAGCCCACACAGAGTCACAACACAGAAAACTTAGCATTCTTTGTTTTGTCTCATTTGCCACTTTTATTAACATGGACAATTTCTTTGAAGAAATGGTCACTTGATTTCGTAGCAAGGACTGAGTTGGTTGCTCTTGCTTAAAAAGGTTCTCTGAAAGAAAAAACCAAGCACCTGTCCAAATAAATGACCTTTTTCTGATGATCTCCTTCTGGTGAGCTTTCAAAAATAGTTACCCATGGGCATTCGATCGAGTGACCATTGTTTTTAATTAAGATATCATGAAAATAAAATTCTCTCTGATGAATTTCCAAAGAAATCCGTATGGGGATATACAATCACCTAGTTTGGTTAATTGTAAAACTTATTGAATAGTGGTTTTAAATACAATGTAACGTTTGTGATATGTAACGAATAAAGCCTGATAATGTTGAAATATTAGGGCTGTAGCTTGCTATTTGTTTCGTATCCAAGGCATGTAAGGTCGAGGGTCTTGGTCTGGTGGATTATGAAGAAGAAATCAAGAAAAGAACTCAGATGGTTTATGTACCAAATTGGTTTTCAGTTGACATCAAAACTGGGGTAAGTAATAAAATTTTCTAAAATCGGGTCTAGTCAAGTCCAATACCTTACTAAATCAATATCGTTTGAGTTCTTGATCGTTCCTGTTTTTTAATCGATGTTTGCTGACCTGTACATATTGAGTCACGATTTGATGAACGATTGACCTGTTACAACGAAAAGATGTGCACTTCATAAAAATTAACATTTAGGCGAAAGAAAGCGGCTTTTTGAAATTTCATCCGTGCTTAGATAAGTGAAAATGGTTTGTTGTCAATGAAATGTAAGAGGAAAGAGGCAATTTTTGTTCTTGTCAATGTTAACTTCCCATGAGTCTAAACACTGTTATATGGAAATGACCGCTTTGGTGTAAATCAAAAGTGCTATTGTTGTATTTATTTCAGATGCTCACAATAAATCTGGAAGAGAGCGACTGTTTTGCAGCTTGGATCTCAGTAACAGATGTTACAGGATTAGAACCAAAAACTGTGGATGGGAAAGGTGTGTAGTCACTATAAATATATTTGATACAAGATTCTGAGAGTTTCTTTTTCGTTTATACACGTATGCCGGCCTACACCCCACTCGACGGCGCGTAATTTTCGGAGGTTTTCTCATTTCCCACTTGTAGCGACTCTACGTTTGTTCGCCCAGCCATCCGACCAAGATCTTGCTAACTTTCCCAAACAATTTGCCAGCATTGATTTTTGTTCATTATGGTATAGAGTATCGTCTCGTACTTGATCAAGCGTTCAGCGCAGTTACCATCAGACAGTACATAACCAAGCAAGAAGAGAACTTTTACCACCTGTTATCCGTATTAACACATCCACACAAATACCCGTACATATTTTATGACCCTTATGGCCTGCTCGCGTTAATATTGTAAATATAATTGTTTTCCAATCATTATTTGCATCCACTGGACGCCAACGTTCCGATTCCCTACAAGGAATCCGTGAACAAACTGATATTCATATCAGTTGATTATGGAACAGAGAATGTCAGTTTTTACCGACGCGCACGGAAACAATTTCAAAGGGAGGAATAAAATAAGGAGTCTTGTTAGGACCGTTTGTTTCCCGTTATTAATTTTTTATCTCTGGAGCTAATAAATTAATCAGTAACCTGCAAGTTAATTTTGAACTTCAAAACTATCTACCTTAACTGTGACGTCAACTGCCCAGTTAGGGACAGTTTCAGCCAATAGATATGCTTCATTCTCTCCGGATAGACAAAAATCTACGTAGGAAGACCGTAATCGATGAAGTGAGCAGGGCCGGAAAAAGCCGCACGGCCCGTTGACATGCAAGCTTTTGAAGGAAGACAGAATAAGAAAGAGGAAGGGTTAAATGATAAAATACTTCTTGATTTAGATCGGGCCGGACGGGAAAAAATTGGGCTCTCGGTCATGACCTCATAGCTAAATTAAAGAGTTGCAAAGTATGCACCCCTCTAAATCGGGAAAATAACGGGTCATGAAAATATCATGTGAAAAGATATTCTGAAAATTAATCTAGGCTTGAACGGAGTGTGAAACTGTGTCCGTCCTGTGATACCAGTGTTTTAATCAAACCAACTCGGTTATAAGGCTACTTTGGAGCTGGTCATTGTATGAGTACAGTTATGATTTAATTTCTACTGGATCTTATTTTCACAGTACTTTTGTTTTACGTGTAAATGCCATTATCTCTCTTATACAAAATCTTTATGCCAGGGTTCAAATGCATGGTATACATATTTTCACTTTAATCTGACTATTTGTATTCATTTTGTTGTTTTTGTGTAGCGTATGTTACAGATGTCAAGCATGGTGAGTAGACGTTCATGTGGCTTTTTGAAAAAGTAAAATTTAAGTCAGAAAAAATTTACTTTTCTTCATCAGACAATGAAAGAAGGTGCAAAAGGTGGTCAGCATGAAATGAGTCATCCAACACCTTTTCACTGACATTGTGGCAAACGTGCAACGACGTGATACTGATGTGACTGGATTTAATGTTTCTTCCGAACATTAATAAACAATGACAAGAAAATATATGATTTTCCAGCTTGAGAAGCTAACCTGTGCCTTAACAAAAGCTCTCTTTGAGCATTTCTTAACCCATATTAAATCTCTTCTTTTTGTCACTGTCACTGTCTTACATTCTTCCTCTTGTGGCCTGCCAGGCACATTAAAGGTGGCATCAAAATGATCCTCATACCAAGGTAGCCATAGTTGCCCAGTGCTCCTCAGGTAGGGTTACCAGTATTTATCAGTTGTGATTTGACTTCGTCTGTTCTGCGTCTCACAGTGAATTACGGAGTGCTTCTTTTGCAAGCCATATTGGAACACTGGAGGGAGACCTACACTGGAACAGCGGATGAAACTGATCAAGACCTTCCCAGAGCTGATTCACCAGGTTAGTACTAAACAAACAAGATTCGATCGTCGTGGCTCTTTCCAGCAAGCCAGTGTAACGACATGCTGCAGCACATGTTATTGTGTCACGTGTCCTCAAACAGTCCCGCTGATCCAATTATGGTTCTGTGTGAGTATAGTCCATAACTTTGACAGTTAAGTTTCTAAGTTTCTAGGATCACAATTCACCGTCCTAATCAGATTTCGAGCACTCTCAATCTGAATTCTTATTTGCAAACTACGAGGCAATAAATGATAATGCTGAACTCCGTTGCTAGAATGCTTACTGAAAAACGTGTGTGAATGTGACGGTTGTCCTCTGAAAACAACTCTCCATATGCTGAACAAGTCTTCTTTAACGATGCGCAATGTCCACGTTTATTTACTTTGACAGAAAGCGGAGATGCAAGCGCCAGTGAAGTTAACCTGAACCTTGAGTCTGTAAGTAGCTGCTTTAGGTTAACTATTGAATAGTGTAGGCAAAATTAAGTATCATCACTACCAAGATATTAGTGTTAAAGGATAAGGTGATCCTTTTGAATTCTCAAATCCCAACGGTTATTTGTCTGGTTTTGTAACGATTGGTTTGAAACTTGGTACTATTTGTGTTAAGATATCTGTATCCCTGGTAAAATACCAAATAGACAAGTAGTATTCGTCTTAACAGTGCGCGACTTTTTGTTTTATCAGATACGTGAAATTTGTACAGTAGTAGCATTTTAAAGTAGAGGAAGCAAATGTTCAGTGAAATCATCCTCGAGTTTCGCCTGATGTAATGTCGGTAATTTGGTTTGTGTTCCCAGCGTGTGATGATGGGCAATGGTTTCTTCAGTGTTCCTGAACACACCCCCCTGATCTTCACAGAGAGCAGTGGCACAGGGAGGACTTTGTTCCGCCTGCTGGTAGCAGATGCCTCCGGAGAGAATGAAGCATATCTATTGGCTGAAACTGTCCCTAACTGGGCAGTTGACGTCACAGTTAAGGTAGATAGTTTTGAAGTTCAAAATTAACTTGCAGGTTACTGATTAATTTATTAGCTCCAGAGATAAAAAATTAATAACGGGAAATAAACGGTCCTAACAAGACTCCTTATTTTATTCCTCCCTTTGAAATTGTTTCCGTGCGCGTCGGTAAAAACTGACATTCTCTGTTCCATAATCAACTGATATGAATATCAGTTTGTTCACGGATTCCTTGTAGGGAATCGGAACGTTGGCGTCCAGTGGATGCAAATAATGATTGGAAAACAATTATATTTTCGAGTTTTAAATGAAGGGCTATTGACTGTAAAGGAAGCGAGTAACTGGAAACGAAATTCTATTGATCTCCAGCATCCCTTCCCGTCTCAAAAACGTGTGTGCCTAAAGTCACTGGTAGTAACAAAATACGTGTTTAGTTTTCATTTTTGAACGGGCTCCGCCTGACAAGAATCTTTGCTTGGATCTAGTGAGCTTGACGTGAGTCAAATCAGGCTCAGAACATTCTTCTTTAGCAGTTTCCTTACGCTGCTCTACCATACATTAGTACACGAAACTCAACTTACTGCAAACTACACCTAACTCCGAATGCATGAGTACCACAGCATGTTATTCTTAGCGACTCAGTTTAGCATATCCCACAATTGGCGGTAAGTTCCTTTAGCGCATGTTGTAATCTTTAAATGCACCAGCTCTTTGCTGTAACATAGCTCAACAATTTAGTTAGAAATGAATCGGTTCTTTTTGTCAACTAATTCATTATCTAAACTTTTTTAAATTTACAGAAACTGTCCCCGAAATTCAATAAGATAGCATTCTTCTTGCAACCTCATTCATCGAGCTCGTCAAAGGCATTGAAGAGGTAAAGTAGTTTAGATGAAATTGTGAATGGTTACAGTTCACCTCACTGGGAACTTGTCTTATACCTTTTAAATAGGCTTGATTTGATTACCAGCCCTGGGAAGGAATGTAGACCCCCTCCCCTACCCTAAGGGTAGAAACGAACTAGAAACCAAGGGAAAAGCTGAGGGGAGCAGTGAAATTGAGCCCAGATTAACAGTATGTGCAAATACTTATAAAATATGTCCAAAGTGCTACTGAAACTAATCCTAAAACTCTAAGAAGGACCCCACGTTAAAAGGTTTACAATACTTTGCTAACTAACTGTTGTTTTCCAATGTTTACAGGGATCGCTTATCGGCCAGTGATATGCTGCACGTGCGCAAAGTCATTGAGCACGTGTACGAGAAAGTGGTGGGAAATGAGAACGCCAGCAATTCAGGTAACCACGCAGATAAAGAGCACGCCGGACCGCCAACCGAGGAAGAACTCGAGGAACTGTTGGCGCTTGCGGAGGCCCGGGTCGAGCTTCTTTGTCACGAGCAGGTCAGTTTTGTCTTGATAAACGAAATGACTCCATGTTGTCAGTTTGTATCCATCATCTTATTGGTTTAAATCATCAGCCATGTGTGGATGTTTGTGAATGTTAGGTTGTCCCAGTTGTAGCTAAGAATTTTTGATATCCTTTTTTTTTGATACTTACGAGATACTTCACGGCGATTAGTTTACCTATGTTAACAAGAAATATCTGTATCTGATGGTGTGTTTGTCCTTCGCTCTTGTCTATCGGTCATTAGTCTTTGTCTTTCTGTCTGTTCGTCTGTCTGTTTTTTTTTTCATACATCGGTTAGCGTCTTCTACTTCCTCCTTCGGACCACGTTGCAGTCAGCACAAAGTCTTAAGTTAAATCCTGTTCCTCTTGTAGGTACTAGATCCTAGCATGGACTTACGGACAGTGCGACATTTTATATGGAAAGGAGGAGGAGACCTGGTACTACAGTACCGAATCATGAAGTGAACCCGTAAGCCCTGCCCCAGTCTCCTATGGAGCCAGATAAGCGAGGGAAAACTCGGTCGAGGATATCTTCCTCACAGAAAAATCCGTGACGTGAGCCTCCAGCTGTCACGTGAGAGTTATCGCAAGACATCGGTGTCAGTTTTGTCTGAAATGGGCCGGCGCGCTTGAAGAGGTTCTTCCTCTAAACAATAGTGGGCTGCTAGTCACTGAAGATGTTAGAGAATATTTATTTATTTTTCGACGCTCGCTAGCTTATTTTTATCAATGGTGGCATGCTGCTGAGGAGGAGGACAGACGGACGACAATTGGATGTGCAAATTTGATAGCCCGGCCTTACACACCTGTACAATGTACATTAAACCTTATAAAAACTATTATAAGTTAAAACTATGTCGCATTACAACAGTCATTTAAGAACTATATAATGCATGATTAAATTTGAAATTCTGTACTCTGTCTGAAGTTGTATTCTACTAAAACCAGCCAAACGCTTGAAGTGGTTTTTAGTTGCTAGGACATGTTTGCATCTGTTTTCTGTTGAAGGCAAAGTAAGCTGAATGGCAAGGAAAATCGACATCGTAAGAACAAAACTACTCAGTTAGTTTTGTCTTTCCTCAAAATTTTTCACGTACGTTATGATTTTTTTTGACAACGAGGGGTGGCGCTTTTCAAGACCGCGTCGAGCAGTATGTCGGCTGCAGCAATGGGCCTGGCTAACACCAGCTGACGGTAGGGGTCTCCTGCTGTTTTTTGTCATCCCCTGCAAAAACTGCATTGCCCTGGGAGTATTCCAACTTTTCCAGGACTCTCCTGAACGTAGTAACTGAAATGAATAAATATAAATAAATAACAATTAAAGTTAATAAATGAAGAAGTAATAACTGCATCACCACCGTCTGTCATCTGACCGAAACTTCTCTTTTGCCTGAAGTTAGTCAGGAGACACTTTCAGCTCCCTATACCTCTCAAGATCTTTTATCTTTGGATTGAACCTTTAAACAGACGAAGTAGATAATTAGCGAGAAAGCGAAACGAGTAGATGTCGCTAACATCGTATCAAATATCCATAAACAACTGCCAATGGTGTTATAGGTGTATGTATGTGTACCCGTAGTAGGAGTAGTTAGACAACACCCAAACAATAGGGCCTACTTGCAGGCTAAGCACACAGCGTTGAGAGGTTTACAAGGTAAAAACCAGGTTTTATTGAAACCCCTGAACAGAAGCCTATCTAAAATTACTTCTGTTATGGACTTTCATTAACATCTGCGCCTCAATTTTGAAAATATTTTAGAAACTATTTGCAGCGTTAGTTATAATTCAAGCAACTGGAACTGCCTGCCTTAGAAGCATTCTGATCATTGTTTCGAAGAACTCTACCAGGACTCTAGCAACTAGACAAATCGACAGTGGTTTAGCATTCGTCATCACAGTGGTCAATTGTTCTCCCTCGTTAGTTTGCAACAAATTTTGACCACTGTGTTGATGAATATTGTTGTTGATAAGAGTACGTACCATGTTAACCATTGTCGATTTGCTTTTGCCAAAATATCAACGTCAAATAAAGCGATGCTTTCAGTGCGTGACCATTGCGTGACACGTTAGAGCGAACGGCGTTGTTAGTACACTCATCGACGACGGCAAATTTTGGCCAATCAGATTGCGACATTCTTGCGTATTGTTAAAAACTACCCAATTGACGCCTACTGTGTTTTTCGTATGAGAACGATGCTAATGTACATAAAATTGATAAGCGTCGTTATCATTGGCGCACTTATGACCCACTGGTGCGTGAAGTGTGATCCCTGTTCTGAAGACTACGAGGGAGAAATCGAAAGAGAGTTTGTTTTGCGAAGTCCACAAAACCTGACTGTAAGATGTCATTGTGTTTGCTTTAAACAAATCAAAGATCTTTTGGGAGCGAAATAATTCTCATGAACTATTTATCTAAAACAATAAGTTTTAAGTGATTGGTTGAATTACATCTATCCTGGAAATTTATGCACAGCATAATTGATCAGCCCAGTTGACCCTCGTGATTAGCGACGCATCGGTTGTACAACGATGGCGTCTTCCGCCCAAGGAAATGGAAATAAAGTACAAGACGATCCAAAGGGTAAGTAGTCTTTAAATTTACACATTTCTTTCGGACTCTTTCAAGATTTTCTCTCCTTTATTCTCACTGGGGCGTTCGTTTGTCATTCTATGGTTCAATGGTTCTGCCTTCATATGTGCAACGATAAATTCTCGTCAGCTCAGTTTTTGTACTGTTATTGAGTACAGGCTGTCGTAAAGTACAGAACTCGTGCAACGTCACCCTGTTCTTATACTCTCTTGAAAAACATTTATTCGGCAATGGTTACAATGCTTGCGTGCACAATTAGAAACGAATTCAGTAAGATTTAAGCAACGCCAACAGACATGGGCAAATATCTGAGACGTCAAAGCTTCTTAGGAGCGAAAATTGTACGATTAACTTTTCTTGTGAATTACTTTGATTTAAATTCCGAAACTCAGCGGAAGAAGTGGTAAAGCTTAACCAAAGCTCAACCAAAGCTTAACCAAAGAATTAAATATTCACTAATATCATTGAAACGGAAATGCATTTTTATGGCGAAGTGATGTTTCTGATATCAACACATTAGCAATCATTAGAGCTCCTGGTGGTTGATTCAGGGTATTTTTACAACATTTATTAACTTCCCATTAACAGAAAGTGCTTATCTGTTTAGATGCTTCTAGTGCTGTTCTGTAAAGCTCTCCCGAAAGCGTAAAAAAATGAGCAATCAACAGACCGAAATGTAAATTTCGCGCTTGACACACTTGAAAGACAGCAATTAATTTTGTCACATAATTTACCATCCCAGAAGGGTTTAAGTCAAACTATTTTCGTATTTTAATTTGTTTACTGATCAATGATTGAATCTATTGAATATTGATAATTTGTTCTCTATCTGCAGCCGAAAACTTGAAACTTCTAGCTGACGTAAACGGTAATTATAAGTGTAATAATAATAATTTGTTTTACTTTAAATTGGTTATGGGATTTTCAAGGTGTAACGAAGGGAATGCGTGGGAGAGACAGGTGGTAGAGAAAGTCAGTTGATCTGCATTTGTTCACGGCAAACAATTTAAATTGATATCTGTAATCTAAGCTAGCATTTCCAGGGTTGAAAAGAGTTCCTTCAAAACAAACAAAAAAAACAAAACAAAACAAAACAGAAAAACTGGAGGAAGCATTATGAAAGTGTTGACTTGAAGGGCTATAATCTTATGTCAATCTTGCGTGAGGGAAATGGAAATCTTGTGTCACGCAAGGGACTTTCCTGAAGAGCTAAAGAACGATTATAACGCCTGGCGATTTTTATTCAAATGCAAATATATTGGCTCATTGTCCAGGAAGGACTTCGACGGATCTGGGAGACGTGACGTGGAAAAAAAGCCGAGCAAAGAAAGCTGCTCAGTTTTTCAAAAGATTTTGTCCGAAGTGGTTTATACATAATTTATTCACAATTTGATTCGTAAAGTGTGTCTTGGAAATGGCGGACGAAGAAGACGGTAAGCATTTGCGACACGTGGGGTTGTTGTAGTTCAAAGAATCTTAGAAGAGAAACAGGCTTGTTACTGTTAATCTGCTGATTGAAAAGAAATGTACACTTTGGTTTTGTTTTCTGACTTATTTTCGCAACCGTGGCGTATCGTGTAAAGGAAAGAGAATATCCAAAATTACATTTCAGATGCAAAATGCGTTGGTTTTTCAGCTGAGCGAAACGTCGCAGGTTTTTGCAAACGTTAGTCTTCGAGATGGTTTACAACTGAACGAAAAAACGTGTCAGGCGTGTTAGAACTTGACCCGCGGACTAAATTCGCCTTCTCGGTCAGCGAGAACGTGTTTACCTCTGGCGAAAATCATGAACTTTAAACTTGTTCACCGCTATTTGCTGTACGATAACCGCATTACCTCAATGGGTGCTGTTTATTTGAACAGGTCATAGTTTACAACTCACTGGTTCATGTACACTGTTGTTTTCAATTTATTACGCCATTTTAGTTTGGCAGTCGGTCACGTAATTTATTCAACATGTCTTGTTTTTAACGCATTTTGCTGGTGATAATGTTGTCGTTATCCTGACTTGAACCGTCTTTCAGGAAAGATGTGCGATTGATTTATTTGTCAGTAATATAGATTCTGATCGAAACTTGGAATTTGTCAATATAAGAATACCTGAACGCGCCCCCACTAAAGTTAGGATTTAGAGGGAGTTTATTGCGGGTGTCTTTGAGGTGGTTCATAAGCAAATATTTTCATAACGTTCTTGGTAACCAAACCGAGTAGCACCTCCTATTTGGAATTTGTATGATTGAGATAAAAAGCGATGATGGAGAAGCGCTCTTTTTGTACTCTTCTGAGCAAAGTATAGCTGTTCAAAATTTCACTGAAAGCGAGAGGAAAAGTTCGAATTTCAACATCGGTCATTAGTTATGGTCACGAATGTGTTTTCAGAGCCTTGAAAGATAGATTTTGGTAGTTTTCGCTGATATGAAAATTCAAGCCAGTTAATTGAACAACTTCAGGATCATAAACATTTGTCAACACCTGTGCAGGATGTCAGATAGCTGGCTCTTCTTGTTCTCATCTGTATTTGTCCACTTTTATTATGAATTGCGGTTAGGTTTTGTTAAAAGCTTCCTTTCAGATCAGACCTTTGTTGAGTGGGTTCTTGATGAAGGGAGTTTTCTGCATGATGTAGTCTAAATGATAATGACGTGAGTGTCCATTGTTACTTTCAAGAGATTCGTTTCCTAAAAAAACAAAACGCGGTCAAATGACCTTTAAGTATTCACGTAAATGCAGGATTTTTTTCTTTCAGTCTTGAACTGAAGGACTTTTTATGGTTTAATAATATTTTTGAGACCAAAATGCTATAATATTTATAATTATTCAATGTTTTTTTTGTCTGTGTTGGTTATGCCATCTGGTAAGCTTCTGATAGTCAGTTATCCCCCTAAAGCACCCACAGTCATTCTTTCCTACAGACTGATATCACCATTTTCACTACCACATGACTTTCAAGATAAAATTTGAAGTTGATTTATCTGAAGGGAAAGTCACTTCATCAAATTAAAGTGATTAAAGGCCATAATGGTGGCATTCATGCATAAATTGTCTGTCAAATCCTGAAAATTAGAGTTCTACTTGCTATGCAGGTCACACTTTCCTTTGATTTATTTCACTTTTATTATAAACTGGTATATGGCAGTGAATTCTTTATTTTTAAAATTATTTGTCAGTTTAAAGTAAGTTAATTTACATGAAATGAGCAGATGCTGAATATTTGTGTATACAAGTTAATGTTAAAACCATATTCTTAAATTTCCTACAACTGTCCAATGTTTTCCACATGTAAAGAATATTGCTTTATTTTAATCCAACATTTTGAATCCCTCTTT